ATAATATAATATAATATAATATAATACAATATAATATAATATAATATAATGTGAAAAAACGAAGCTGTTATTGCTCATGAATTCCCTTTCTGAGATCAATTATGAGGCATATTATTTCTTCTGCACAGCTGCTACATAAGAAGGTTGTGCATGCACGCAGCTTAGAGGGAGCATTGATCACAACAAAGTTCGCTATCATAAATATGTTATTTTAAAAACTAAATATTTATCACTATACTAAATCTAAAAACGTATTACAGCATGAGCATATTGTTTTTCTATGTTAAAAGTTGGTTTTGCAGTTAGTTAAAATATTGAGCTATATATATTCTGACAAATAAATAAAGGTAAGCACTTCAGCTTTTGAAAGTCATATTATGCAATTACAATTTTACCCTAACCATATAGTAATTACATGTAGTACATTAATATTACTCAGTACTTAAATGTATAATTACACTTTAACAAGGACACTTTAAAATAAAGTGTAACCAAAATGTATAATTACACTGTAGCAAGGACACCTTAAAATAAAGTGTAACCAAATTATATTACTATTATAAAATTACAATTCAAATAAATATATTTGGCACACAAAATGAGATGACAGAGAAACTCTCTCATTCACCATTTAATTAGCTAAATGAAAAAGTAACTGAATGACATCATTCTGCCTAACATCTCCTCTTGTAAGTCATATGAATAAGAAACAAAATAAAGGTAAGTGATAAGACGCTTTATTTTTGGATAAACTATTTTATTCACAACATAATCTCTCTTAAAATACAGTATAGGGTTATGATAATCAAAAAAGTCCTGAGCTAGATCAAGCTTTGATTTCTGCAAACCAAACTATCACTTTAATTAAATAATATTTTTCCCCCACTAATAAAAGATTTGATCATTAGGTAGCTCCACACAGGAGAACTGCTTTAAAACCGAAAATCAGGTTGTAATTCTAACTGAAAGCGACATTGACTCTAGTTTTTCATGTTTAATATTGTGTAAAGCTGCTTGATTTAAAGAGGTGGTTCACTGGTTTTTTTCTAGGCTTGATTGTGTTTATGGGGGGCAGTCTAACATGTGTTAATGCTTTGTTTTTTGCATTGAACTTTCAGCTTCGTAACTTTGCAGATATTGTTTATGCTCAAACAGCAACATTACACACTAACTAACGTTAAAAAAGTGAAATCGCAATCAACCACCCCTTTAAGGCTATCTATTGCATAAAGTACTATATAAATAAACTTGACGTGACTTTACTGGAGTGCCGAACTGCAGCGCTTGTGCAACATCCACATCGCTGTAATCAGATGCATTCTTAACTGCTGCTTTCTCACCGCTGTCAGTTTTTGTTGTGTTTATTTCATTATTTAGAAGAAAGCGCGCAGCATGTATTTATATATTCATCTAAACGCCGCTCAGCAGCTTCAGGTTCGGCTGCGTTTGCGCTCAATGCGCTGTGTCTTCGCTTGAATTGCATCCGGGAGAGCTGAATTACAGTCTTGCGCTACAGCGCCACACTGGTCAAACCGCATTACTGCAGGCTCTTTCATTAGGTCATATGAGATCAAATGACTACTCGACAACAAAAATATTTGTTGACAATTTTTTTATTGTCAACGTTGTTGATAATGTCGACTAATCGTTTCAGCCCTATCCTCAATGAATTTCATTAATAAGCCAAAAACATCTTCCTGTCAAAGGAAACAAACTCTTTTCCATGTCTAGAAACCCGACACACCTTACAGCTCACTTTGCTAACACCACTCCATACGCACATACTTTCAAGATGTCATTCTGCACGGATGGTTTTCCATTAACACTTAATTCTTTTATCACACTTGAGTGTTTCCTCAAAACAGTGTTGCCAAACAGGCATGGAAAAAAACTGATGACTGGCTGCCTCTCCACATACACACAAACATATGCACCACTTCTACATGCTTATTTTCAGTTCCTGAACAATGCAATAATCTGACACACCAAAACAGGATAAATGACATGCTAATGGACTGCTTTTATAAAAAATGCTGTTTCCAAGCAACGAACAGGTAAGACGAGCTGCAGTTTTGTTCATGCACAATACTGACAACATGAGAGAAACAAAGATGAGACTGAGAAAGAGAACCAAACATACCAAGATGATGATGTGTAATCATGAGAACAGATATGATGCAAGTAAATGGCATAATTATGTTGACACTGTATTTCTGATACAGCATAAGCCAATGGCAATAAAAGCCGTGCACTACATAACGCAATAAATCTCAACTCAGTTTCATTTGGGTTAAAATTCAGTGCATGTAACCCAGTATTCTGTGAACAACACACCTTTAACAGTATTGGAAGCCTAATGACTTGTGAACAGCTTCTACTGGGTAACATGATGTGACAGAAATATAAGCCGGTGTGTGTGCATATAATCAATGCAATTCATTTACATCTGGCCCAGCACATCCAAACTATCTCTGGTGGGATATGTGTGCTTATACGTTTGTGTAATGTTAAAATCAATTTAATCAAGCATATAGGCAGAATAGAACACTTCTTCCATCTTTTCTTTCCTAAAACAAAACCCTTAAACATTGAGATCATTGGCATACGGTTAGGAGGACAGATGCATGCAGACTGACCAATAGTTGTGCTGTTGTCGAAGCAGGTAGAGGGCAGCAGTCTCAGGTGAGAGTTTGTGTTTCCTGTCCTCTAGCAGTCGGTATGCTTCCACATGCTGAGGCGATAACTCAGATAAATGCAATGGAAACACCTCATTCCTCCGTTTCTGGAAAATACAGAAACAAAACCTATCAATACAGAATAAATAGATATATAACAAATAGTAAAATATTGTATTTTTAATGAATTAATACATCATTTTATTTAGGAAGGACACATTCAATTCATCAAAAGTGTCAGTAAAGACATTTATAATGTTACAAAAGATTTATATTTTAAATAAATACTGTTCTTTTGAACTTTCTATACATCAAAGAATCCTAAAAAAATGTATCATGGTTTCCACAAACATATTAAGCTGCACATTTGTTTTCAACATTGATAAAAAAATAAGATGTTTCATGAACAGCAAATCAGCATATTAGAATGATTTCTGAAAGATCATGTGACACTGAAGAATGGAGTAATGATGCTGAAAATTCAGCTTTGACATCACAGGAATAAATTACATCAGAAAACAGTTATGCAAGTTGTAATATTGCCCTTTGTACTGTATTTTTAAAAGCAAAAAAAAAAAATGGCTTGAGTATGAGACTTTAAAAAATAAATAAATAAATAAATAAATAATATATTTTTTCTTTTAACAGACCCTAAGCTTTCAAGCAGTTAAAACATTATACAGAAGTAATATTATTATAGAAATAATTCATAAACAAATAACATGTTGTATCTTCTGATATTCAGTGATGTTATAATAGAAAATATAAAAATCCACCGTGGTTCCAGAAGTATTTGGACACTTTTGTCATTTCTACACTAGATACTAAATCAGATCAGTCAAGTGGCATCTGCAAATATTGTTAAAGCTTTTCTCAAAAGTCAAAACCAACTTCACATTTATGTGCCATTTCTGCTAGGTCAAAGATGAAAATATTATAAATGATAAACTTTAATATGTTTTTTTTCCCCCTTTCTACAGGAATAAAATATGAATCTTACTGCTAAACAAGCATATCATCTACCATTAAACAGTCTAGCTAGCTAGCGTGTCTGTGTTTACACTGTGTGTTCTTTGTTAGCAGAATGACTCTTTTGTGGTTCTTGTCAACAGTGGTGCTTTCCTGTAAGGCCTGACTTTAGCAGGTGGCCAATGAGTACAAAGCAACATTACACCATCATCATGTTCTTTACACATTACCAGGGGCTATTACTACTCTGGCAAGCAAACAGGAGCTTATCAGCGCGTCTGTTTATACATGTGTATGTGTGCCCATAAACTGGTTTGGGTTACATACAAAACATTAACATCTGCTCCAGTTGATTGTAGAGAACAAACAAGCATGAAAACAGAGTGTGGGTATATTAAACTGCTGTAAATGGACAACACACACAGAATGATTTTGTTTGTTGCTGTTAGTCCTGCTAGCATGCGGATAAACCAGATGTTTGGCTCCTTCAGCAAAAGCTCTCAGTGCCCGAAAAGCTTACAAATTCAAGTGGCTGTCAGCCTCCTATGATCTGATTGAAATATTATGAGTGAACAAACTGAACATTCAAGAAACAGCCACTTGACTCACTATGAATAGAAGCGCATAATCAACATGACATGCTAAGTCATACTCGTACGTCCAAAAATGTGAGACCACACTGAAAATCTTGTTGCCGTTTTCCTACTTTTAAAAAATGTATGAATGCAAATAAAAGTTGATGCAAACTAAAAAACTTTATAAATAAAATATTAATATTTAAAAAATGTTTGCCCTCCAAATCAGTGTCAAGTAATGTGACTATTAAAGTCAGTCAATATGCAAAAATTATGATGTCAGATAATCAGACTTTATTATCAAAAGACAAGGTTAGTTCAGGTTTTGAAATGTGGTGCAGTTTCACAAAACATATCAATAAAATTGTGATTCATAATTGTACTGTTTACTATAGTGTACTATACTTTTAACCTTAAAAAAATGGGGGGAAATTATTAAGATGTATACATTCACATGTATTCAATGTTTAAAGAAAAAAAAATATTTTAATATATTTTTCTAATATTTTAATAAGAAAATATTACATTTACCTTGTTGGTTATACCCCATGACATTTTTTAGAGACATTAAACTGCTTAAAAATAATTATTTATTACACACACACACACACACAAATTGTACATTTCTAAGAACTTGATGTGTTTAAATTAGATTTTTAAAATATTTTTCCTTTTCTTTATCTTGAACACTTGTATGTCATTTACCCATTAAACAAAAATGTAAATAAATAAATAAAAATACAGGCAAAATAAAAGAATTTTCAGTAGCAGTCTCAGACTTTTGGACCCCAGAGTATATAATTTATATTGAAATACAATAAAGAAGACTGACTATGCAGGACAAATACTGGATTGACTATATCTATGATGCCATTTGAAAAATACTTCATTAAATAAACTAACGTGGTACAAAAACCACCAAAAACAGCCATGTAATGACCCAGCAAGCAGATTACAGTACAGTAAATACATGAGGCATTTGAGATCTCCAGATACTCACACCTGCCTAAGCGTCCGCTCTTAAGACGAGTTAGCCTAACGGTTAGCTTAGCCCTCCAGATCACAGGAAGCAGAGGGAACAAAAAGCATGTTTACTAATTCATGGCAGCAGTCAGGTGTAACGTGGGGCGGCCTTTGTTCTGGAGAAGATTCAGAAACGTTACACTGATGTCCCGAACCATGGATAATCTACAGGGCTAAAATTAGACTGTTGTGTGAATAGCTGCGAAAAGAAAATGGTTTGATCATTGACAAGTACGTGAAAACAGATAGCCTTGAATAGCCTGGTGACCCCCGGGCATGTTGTGTTATGCTTTCGTGCAACTGTGTCTTTTGGCTGCGCATGGGAGTCAGTGTTTTCGTCACAACTGATTTGATAAAACTGTCTGTCTTCTTGACGTGGCTCATGACATTTTCTGAAAATAATCATTAAACTGGTCCAAAAAAAAAAAAGTAAGTGAATGAATAAATGGACAAGTTACAAATACAGCATATGTAGAAATGTGTAAAAAAAAAAAGCCAAATTATTTTATGCTGGCATGGACCCCAGAATATTATGATCACCTTTTCTAAAATAATGTCAGCTGCTATATACATTTTCATACATGAAGACCATTTGTATGGTGAAAAATATTATAAAATTGTGTAAAATATTACCAGTAAAATGTTTTCTATTTCTTTATTTCAACATATATTTATTAATACAACTGATTGAGTTTAACATAGTTTTTCACTTAGTTATTTTATTGTAATAATTGTTTTATTTAATATTTTTATTTTAATTATTTAATTATTTCCCCACTATTTTTCTCGTAGCTTTTCCTCATTTCATTCAATTTCATGTTTCAAGTTCCATTTCAAGTTTTTAATTGCCAATTCAAGAGCCACACACACTGAAACGTAAGACCTTCGTTCATCTTCGGAACACAAATTAAGATATTTTTGATCAAATCTGAGAGCTCTCAGACCCTGCATAGACGGCAACACAACTGTAATGTTCCCAGGTCCAGAAACGTAGTAAGGACATCAGTAAAACAGTCCATGTGGCATCAGTGGCTCAACTTCAGCTTTGCAAAGCTACGAGAATACTTTTTGAGTGCAAAGAAAACAAAAATAACATAATTTATTTAACAATTCTTCTCCCCCGAGTTACGTCTTCCGCCATTTTGGAGAGTATCCAAGAACGTTTACGTTCGGGGGATAAAGCGCGCGCATGAACGTAATCTGCGTAATCAGCGTTGTTTACGTTCGGGGGATAAAGCGCGCGCATGAACGTAATCAGCGTAATCAGCGTTGTTTACGTTCGGGGGATAAAGCGCGCGCATGAACGTAATCTGCGTAATCAGCGTTGTTTATGTAAGACGTAACTCGGGGGAGAAGAATTGTTGAATAAGTTATGTTATTTTTGTTTTCTTTGCGCTCAAAACGTATTCTCATAGCTTCGCAATGACAGAATTTTCATTTTTGGGTGAACTATCCCTTTAAGAAAGTTTTAGTACAACCTAATGTGCTGCAAAGAACTCCTGAAGAACTTTTTATAAGAATATAATAAAAATGACTACCGGAAATATGATAATAATAATAATATACAGTAAATATGTATATATATATATATATATATATATATATATATATTTGTTGTTTTCCATTACAAATATATCGAAGGAAAATTACTTAAGACATTATGTCTTGTTTTCTGAAAAATATATCAGAACTACAGTGGGTACGGAAAGCATTCAGACCCCCTTATATATATATTTGTTGTTTTTTCTTTTTTCTTATTTTTTTAACATTGTGTTTGGTACATTTTGTATTCCTCAAAGTTTTATTAAATATTTATTTATTTTAATGCTATAGCCCCTCATTTATGAACGCAAATCATTTAAACTGAAATGGTACATTTTTTGGTTATTAGAATTTGAACAAAGTGTTTTATTAAGCTGTAGATGTTTTTTTTACTACTGTACAATTCTTATTTCTAAATATTTAAAAAAGGGTAATACATATCACCTTTTGGACCCAATTTCATTAATTCACTGAGAGAGTCAGTCCTAAAAAAAGATTAAAAAAAACCTTCAAAACTTTTTAATGTCCAACACAAAAGCCCTACACAGTGAAAATAGCTCTTAATAAGAAGGTTTTAGTAGAATGTGCTGCAAAGAACTACTAGACCTTTATAAGAGTAGGCTATATAATCACACAATTGTCAGATATTCGTCATTTGAATGGCTGGCCACTCAATGACCTTTCAGATGCTGTGTGCTGAAAGAGTTGCTGTAGATCAGAGAAAGAGCTAGTGCACTGCACAGCCACTGGCCTCAAGAGAGTGAGCGGCAGGGTATTTATAGCCCTACTCGTCCCCAGCTGCATGGCTCCTACACCCCGCTAACAGGCAATTGGGCAACACAAGCTCACCCCTCCAGCAACCCACCACACTAACGTCCATAACGCAAACAGACATCTGGACATCAGCAGCCCTCAAAAGAGAGAGAAAACTGATCAGGGGAGGCAGGAAAAAGAGAAAACGGCTGAGAGAGAGCAAGAAAAAGACCTTCCATCACACC